GAAACAGAGGGAGCATGGGTGAAACAGAGGGAGCATGGGTGAAACAGAGGGAGCATGGGTGAAACAGAGGGAGCATGGGTGAAACAGAGGGAGCATGGGTGAAACAGAGGGAGCATGGGTGAAACAGAGGGAGCATGGGTGAAACAGAGGGAGCATGGGTGAAACAGAGGGAGCATGGGTGAAACAGAGGGAGCATGGGTGAAACAGAGGGAGCATGGGTGAAACAGAGGGAGCATGGGTGAAACAGAGGGAGCATGGGTGAAACAGAGGGAGCATGGGTGAAACAGAGGGAGCATGGGTGAAACAGAGGGAGCATGGGTGAAACAGAGGGAGCATGGGTGAAACAGAGGGAGCATGGGTGAAACAGAGGGAGCATGGGTGAAACAGAGGGAGCATGGGTGAAACAGAGGGAGCATGGGTGAAACAGAGGGAGCATGGGTGAAACAGAGGGAGCATGGGTGAAACAGAGGGAGCATGGGTGAAACAGAGGGAGCATGGGTGAAACAGAGGGAGCATGGGTGAAACAGAGGGAGCATGGGTGAAACAGAGGGAGCATGGGTGAAACAGAGGGAGCATGGGTGAAACAGAGGGAGCATGGGTGAAACAGAGGGAGCATGGGTGAAACAGAGGGAGCATGGGTGAAACAGAGGGAGCATGGGTGAAACAGAGGGAGCATGGGTGAAACAGAGGGAGCATGGGTGAAACAGAGGGAGCATGGGTGAAACAGAGGGAGCATGGGTGAAACAGAGGGAGCATGGGTGAAACAGAGGGAGCATGGGTGAAACAGAGGGAGCATGGGTGAAACAGAGGGAGCATGGGTGAAACAGAGGGAGCATGGGTGAAACAGAGGGAGCATGGGTGAAACAGAGGGAGCATGGGTGAAACAGAGGGAGCATGGGTGAAACAGAGGGAGCATGGGTGAAACAGAGGGAGCATGGGTGAAACAGAGGGAGCATGGGTGAAACAGAGGGAGCATGGGTGAAACAGAGGGAGCATGGGTGAAACAGAGGGAGCATGGGTGAAACAGAGGGAGCATGGGTGAAACAGAGGGAGCATGGGTGAAACAGAGGGAGCATGGGTGAAACAGAGGGAGCATGGGTGAAACAGAGGGAGCATGGGTGAAACAGAGGGAGCATGGGTGAAACAGAGGGAGCATGGGTGAAACAGAGGGAGCATGGGTGAAACAGAGGGAGCATGGGTGAAACAGAGGGAGCATGGGTGAAACAGAGGGAGCATGGGTGAAACAGAGGGAGCATGGGTGAAACAGAGGGAGCATGGGTGAAACAGAGGGAGCATGGGTGAAACAGAGGGAGCATGGGTGAAACAGAGGGAGCATGGGTGAAACAGAGGGAGCATGGGTGAAACAGAGGGAGCATGGGTGAAACAGAGGGAGCATGGGTGAAACAGAGGGAGCATGGGTGAAACAGAGGGAGCATGGGTGAAACAGAGGGAGCATGGGTGAAACAGAGGGAGCATGGGTGAAACAGAGGGAGCATGGGTGAAACAGAGGGAGCATGGGTGAAACAGAGGGAGCATGGGTGAAACAGAGGGAGCATGGGTGAAACAGAGGGAGCATGGGTGAAACAGAGGGAGCATGGGTGAAACAGAGGGAGCATGGGTGAAACAGAGGGAGCATGGGTGAAACAGAGGGAGCATGGGTGAAACAGAGGGAGCATGGGTGAAACAGAGGGAGCATGGGTGAAACAGAGGGAGCATGGGTGAAACAGAGGGAGCATGGGTGAAACAGAGGGAGCATGGGTGAAACAGAGGGAGCATGGGTGAAACAGAGGGAGCATGGGTGAAACAGAGGGAGCATGGGTGAAACAGAGGGAGCATGGGTGAAACAGAGGGAGCATGGGTGAAACAGAGGGAGCATGGGTGAAACAGAGGGAGCATGGGTGAAACAGAGGGAGCATGGGTGAAACAGAGGGAGCATGGGTGAAACAGAGGGAGCATGGGTGAAACAGAGGGAGCATGGGTGAAACAGAGGGAGCATGGGTGAAACAGAGGGAGCATGGGTGAAACAGAGGGAGCATGGGTGAAACAGAGGGAGCATGGGTGAAACAGAGGGAGCATGGGTGAAACAGAGGGAGCATGGGTGAAACAGAGGGAGCATGGGTGAAACAGAGGGAGCATGGGTGAAACAGAGGGAGCATGGGTGAAACAGAGGGAGCATGGGTGAAACAGAGGGAGCATGGGTGAAACAGAGGGAGCATGGGTGAAACAGAGGGAGCATGGGTGAAACAGAGGGAGCATGGGTGAAACAGAGGGAGCATGGGTGAAACAGAGGGAGCATGGGTGAAACAGAGGGAGCATGGGTGAAACAGAGGGAGCATGGGTGAAACAGAGGGAGCATGGGTGAAACAGAGGGAGCATGGGTGAAACAGAGGGAGCATGGGTGAAACAGAGGGAGCATGGGTGAAACAGAGGGAGCATGGGTGAAACAGAGGGAGCATGGGTGAAACAGAGGGAGCATGGGTGAAACAGAGGGAGCATGGGTGAAACAGAGGGAGCATGGGTGAAACAGAGGGAGCATGGGTGAAACAGAGGGAGCATGGGTGAAACAGAGGGAGCATGGGTGAAACAGAGGGAGCATGGGTGAAACAGAGGGAGCATGGGTGAAACAGAGGGAGCATGGGTGAAACAGAGGGAGCATGGGTGAAACAGAGGGAGCATGGGTGAAACAGAGGGAGCATGGGTGAAACAGAGGGAGCATGGGTGAAACAGAGGGAGCATGGGTGAAACAGAGGGAGCATGGGTGAAACAGAGGGAGCATGGGTGAAACAGAGGGAGCATGGGTGAAACAGAGGGAGCATGGGTGAAACAGAGGGAGCATGGGTGAAACAGAGGGAGCATGGGTGAAACAGAGGGAGCATGGGTGAAACAGAGGGAGCATGGGTGAAACAGAGGGAGCATGGGTGAAACAGAGGGAGCATGGGTGAAACAGAGGGAGCATGGGTGAAACAGAGGGAGCATGGGTGAAACAGAGGGAGCATGGGTGAAACAGAGGGAGCATGGGTGAAACAGAGGGAGCATGGGTGAAACAGAGGGAGCATGGGTGAAACAGAGGGAGCATGGGTGAAACAGAGGGAGCATGGGTGAAACAGAGGGAGCATGGGTGAAACAGAGGGAGCATGGGTGAAACAGAGGGAGCATGGGTGAAACAGAGGGAGCATGGGTGAAACAGAGGGAGCATGGGTGAAACAGAGGGAGCATGGGTGAAACAGAGGGAGCATGGGTGAAACAGAGGGAGCATGGGTGAAACAGAGGGAGCATGGGTGAAACAGAGGGAGCATGGGTGAAACAGAGGGAGCATGGGTGAAACAGAGGGAGCATGGGTGAAACAGAGGGAGCATGGGTGAAACAGAGGGAGCATGGGTGAAACAGAGGGAGCATGGGTGAAACAGAGGGAGCATGGGTGAAACAGAGGGAGCATGGGTGAAACAGAGGGAGCATGGGTGAAACAGAGGGAGCATGGGTGAAACAGAGGGAGCATGGGTGAAACAGAGGGAGCATGGGTGAAACAGAGGGAGCATGGGTGAAACAGAGGGAGCATGGGTGAAACAGAGGGAGCATGGGTGAAACAGAGGGAGCATGGGTGAAACAGAGGGAGCATGGGTGAAACAGAGGGAGCATGGGTGAAACAGAGGGAGCATGGGTGAAACAGAGGGAGCATGGGTGAAACAGAGGGAGCATGGGTGAAACAGAGGGAGCATGGGTGAAACAGAGGGAGCATGGGTGAAACAGAGGGAGCATGGGTGAAACAGAGGGAGCATGGGTGAAACAGAGGGAGCATGGGTGAAACAGAGGGAGCATGGGTGAAACAGAGGGAGCAAGGGTGAAACAGAGGGAGCAAGGGTGAAACAGAGGGAGCATGGGTGAAACAGAGGGAGCATGGGTGAAACAGAGGGAGCATGGGTGAAACAGAGGGAGCATGGGTGAAACAGAGGGAGCATGGGTGAAACAGAGGGAGCATGGGTGAAACAGAGGGAGCATGGGTGAAACAGAGGGAGCATGGGTGAAACAGAGGGAGCAAGGGTGAAACAGAGGGAGCAAGGGTGAAACAGAGGGAGCATGGGTGAAACAGAGGGAGCATGGGTGAAACAGAGGGAGCATGGGTGAAACAGAGGGAGCAAGGGTGAAACAGAGGGAGCATGGGTGAAACAGAGGGAGCAAGGGTGAAACAGAGGGAGCATGGGTGAAACAGAGGGAGCATGGGTGAAACAGAGGGAGCATGGGTGAAACAGAGGGAGCATGGGTGAAACAGAGGGAGCATGGGTGAAACAGAGGGAGCATGGGTGAAACAGAGGGAGCATGGGTGAAACAGAGGGAGCATGGGTGAAACAGAGGGAGCATGGGTGAAACAGAGGGAGCATGGGTGAAACAGAGGGAGCATGGGTGAAACAGAGGGAGCATGGGTGAAACAGAGGGAGCATGGGTGAAACAGAGGGAGCATGGGTGAAACAGAGGGAGCATGGGTGAAACAGAGGGAGCATGGGTGAAACAGAGGGAGCATGGGTGAAACAGAGGGAGCAAGGGTGAAACAGAGGGAGCATGGGTGAAACAGAGGGAGCATGGGTGAAACAGAGGGAGCATGGGTGAAACAGAGGGAGCATGGGTGAAACAGAGGGAGCATGGGTGAAACAGAGGGAGCATGGGTGAAACAGAGGGAGCATGGGTGAAACAGAGGGAGCATGGGTGAAACAGAGGGAGCATGGGTGAAACAGAGGGAGCATGGGTGAAACAGAGGGAGCATGGGTGAAACAGAGGGAGCATGGGTGAAGGGAGGGTGAAGGGAGGGTGAAGGGAGGGTGAAGGGAGGGTGGCGGGGGGAAGCAGGGAAGGGGATGGGGGGAAGCAGGGAAGGGGATGGGGGGAAGCAGGGAAGGGGATGGGGGGAAGCAGGGAAGGGGATGGGGGGAAGCAGGGAAGGGGATGGGGGGAAGCAGGGAAGGGGATGGGGGAAGCAGGGAAGAGGATGGGGGTAAGCAGGGAAGGGGATGGAGGTAAGCAGGGAAGGGGATGGGGGGATGGTGGGAGGGGACGGGGGGGACGCTAGGAGGGGGACGGGGGAAAGGAGGGAAGGGCGCGGGGGAAGCAGGGAAGGGGATGGGTGGGAGCAGGGACAGGGAAGGGGATGGGGGGAAGCAGGGAAGGGGATGGGGGGAAGCAGGGAAGGGGATGTGGGGGAAGAGGGAAGGGATGGGGAGGGGGATGGGGAGGTGACGGATGGGGAGGTGAGGGATGGGGAGGTGACGGATGGGGAGGTGAGGGATGGGGAGGTGACGGATGGGGAGGTGAGGGATGGGGAGGTGACGGATGGGGAGGTGAGGGATGGGGAGGTGACGGATGGGGAGGTGAGGGATGGGGAGGTGACGGATGGGGAGGTGAGGGATGGGGAGGTGACGGATGGGGAGGTGAGGGATGGGGAGGTGACGGATGGGGAGGTGAGGGATGGGGAGGTGAGGGATGGGGAGGTGAGGGATGGGGAGGTGACGGATGGGGAGGTGACGGATGGGGAGGTGACGGATGGGGAGGTGACGGATGGGGAGGTGAGGGATGGGGAGGTGACGGATGGGGAGGTGACGGATGGGGAGGTGACGGATGGGGAGGTGAGGGATGGGGAGGTGACGGATGGGGAGGTGAGGGATGGGGAGGTGACGGATGGGGAGGTGAGGGATGGGGAGGTGAGGGATGGGGAGGTGAGGGATGGGGAGGTGACGGATGGGGAGGTGACGGATGGGGAGGTGAGGGATGGGGAGGTGACGGATGGGGAGGTGAGGGATGGGGAGGTGACGGATGGGGAGGTGACGGATGGGGAGGTGACGGATGGGGAGGTGAGGGATGGGGAGGTGACGGATGGGGAGGTGAGGGATGGGGAGGTGACGGATGGGGAGGTGAGGGATGGGGAGGTGACGGATGGGGAGGTGAGGGATGGGGAGGTGACGGATGGGGAGGTGAGGGATGGGGAGGTGACGGATGGGGAGGTGAGGGATGGGGAGGTGACGGATGGGGAGGTGAGGGATGGGGAGGTGAGGGATGGGGAGGTGAGGGATGGGGAGGTGACGGATGGGGAGGTGACGGATGGGGAGGTGACGGATGGGGAGGTGAGGGATGGGGAGGTGACGGAGGGAGGTGGGGAGGTGACGGATGGGGAGGTGACGGATGGGGAGGTGACGGATGGGGAGGTGAGGGATGGGGAGGTGACGGATGGGGAGGTGAGGGATGGGGAGGTGACGGATGGGGAGGTGAGGGATGGGGAGGTGAGGGATGGGGAGGTGAGGGATGGGGAGGTGACGGATGGGGAGGTGACGGATGGGGAGGTGAGGGATGGGGAGGTGACGGATGGGGAGGTGAGGGATGGGGAGGTGACGGATGGGGAGGTGACGGATGGGGAGGTGACGGATGGGGAGGTGACGGATGGGGAGGTGACGGATGGGGAGGTGACGGATGGGGAGGTGACGGATGGGGAGGTGACGGATGGGGAGGTGACGGATGGGGAGGTGACGGATGGGGAGGTGAGGGATGGGGTAGGCTCCGCGAGCGGCTTGGGGCAATCTGGAGGGGATTGTGATGGCGCTGTGGACGGGAGAGTGATGGCGCTGGGACAGAGAATGGGAGGGCGTTGGGGATGGGTCGTTACCTGGAAATGGGATGAGTGTGAGGGAATGCGATGGCGCCGGGGTAGAGAGTGTGAGAGCGCTGTGGGAGAGAATATGAGGGCGCTGTGGGAGAGAATATGAGAGCGCTGTGGAAGAGAACAACAGAGCGCTGTGGAAGAGAACATGAGAGCGCTGTGGGAGAGAATATGAGAGCGCCGCGCTCTTTTGTGGAAAGGCAACAGCTTAGAGGCATCGTGGCTGTGAGAACGATTAGGAAAGGTGAGAACCTTTCACGGGAGACAGTGCTGTGCGGTGCGGACGACGGGAAGGATCACAGGGAAGTTGACGGAAATGACATGTGGGGTCGACGGGAAAAGATTCTGCAGTCGACGGGCTGGCGAAATTTAGGCGAGGAGATCGCCTATAGCTGGCGCATCGAAATGCGACTGGATCGATGCGGAAATGTGGGTGAAGCGAAGGGGAAATGCGGCCCGCGAATCGAAGGGGAAATGCGGGCGGGTCGAACGGGACCTGCGTGTGACGGGTAGAAGATATTAGCGCTACGGGAATGGCACGCTCACGCGACGAATATGCTAAATGCGGGCGACGGGAAGTCTAAATGCGGGCGTCGCCGTGTATCGGTACTGCACGCGCTGTAACCCTAAAATTGTGGGCGACGGGGCTTGAACTTGCGTGTGATGTATAGGGGAAACGTGGATGATATGCAGTCGTTTTGGTCGCATGGTGACGTTTTCCTACTTGAAGTCTAACTATTAGCTGCTAGCCTGGTGTGAGGTGTGTCGAGGTGCTATTGTTCACTCTCATATACACAAGATGCCCAACCCCTGCACGCGAAATTGCCTCGCACATTCCAGAAACCTTGCACACGAAGGTTTTTTCCCGGGCAGTTGCACCCACGTTACAAGCACGTCAACCAATACGAACCACAGAAACAGAAGAGACCGAAGTCAAACAGTCAACGGTGAGTTACAAAATTTTGCTATAAGCCCTTTTTGCCCGATGCGAATTGACGAAACCTCCACGAAATGCATGAATCACTTAAGCGCCCCCTTCACAAGGCAACCTTGGGTTAGTCAAACGGACATCGTGTGTAGCATACGCAGGCACATTCCCCTCCCGAGTCATTTGCTTGGTGCGACACCAGGTTGTCGCACTTTGTTTTCGCTAGGGTGCAACTTTCGTTAAACTTCCGCACATCTGTTTGCTTGACCCCCAACCCAACCCAAACCTAGCGTTGACTCGCTTTTGTAATTCAGGCTGCGGGCCCATTAACACTCAGCCCACAGGCGTTACACTCGTCCCCCCCTGGTGTCAACGTCCTCGTTGACGAACTTCAGGGAGTCGGCCCCCGCAGGGACCTATTCGCTGTGCCCCAAGCAGCGACTTCGCTGGTGGACCAGGCCAGCGGAGGATCGTTCGCTGGGTTTAATCTGGTTACCACATTCAAATTCTCGCCACAGGCGGAAAACGTGGATCAGCCAGGATTTGAACCCTAGGCTCTGAAACCAGTATAACACCTAGCTACCCGAGGGTGTTATTTGACGCAGCGGAATGCCCATAACACTCAGCCCACTGGCGTTACACAAAACGAGTTACTGCGGTATTGGCACTCATCAATGTTTGACGCTCCAACAAATTTCGAACCACCCCCCTTTCCCCGTACCACCTCCGTTCGAGCGAAATACCGTATGGCGCTGTATCCCGTTGAATGAACTTGCTAAGTCCACAGAATAACGAGGGCGCGTGTCTTTTGGTGTAGATTGTCAAAGTTCGAGCCTAGTACCGCTGTGTACCGTAGCAACTTGTCTCTCAACTGTATGCTACCGTGTACAACTTTTCTAGAAGTTCGAACTTTGGCAAAAGTTCGACCTGAAGGACACGCGCCCTGAGAGTGACGGGTGACCCGAGGGAGTTTTTCTGGTGTGGGCTTTGGCAAGAGCTTCCAATTTCGACTAGGTTCGTTTTTTTAGCGAGACCCTGCCAGGGCTGACGTTTCATTTTGGGTCTCCCTGGTTCCGGCTAGGAATTCCCCTCTCCCCCCCCCACAAAGCTCAAGGCCCAAATTGCAAAGCGCGCGAGGCAAGATTACTAGAGTTGATGAGAGTGGTGTTTGGAGTGTTGTTTTGTTGCGAACTGTGGTTACGAGTAGTGCGATGCAATTTGATTGGCTAGCAATTTCTTGTCCAATAGGAGAGAAGGAAACACCAAGAATATTGAGAGTGCAATTTGGGACCCGAGAACCAAAACCGAGTTGCTCTCTGGGGTTTGCTGAGTCAGCGAAACCCCTAAGGGAGAAGTACGAAGCTGGGCGAAACTGACGAGCCCAACTTAAAAAAAGTCAACCTTCCTCTCGCACCACCCAAAGGGCAACCTTAGTAAGGTTGATCAATTTGGGCCTTGAGCTTTAATGATGAGGGCACATAGCTACCCTGATTGCTCAATGTTGAAAACTAGTTAACTCTAATTGTTCAGGGTCAAAAATTCAACATCATAGTAACGAGCTCTTTCTTTAACGGGGAAAAATGTCTCACTCTGCACAAATGCAACACGGGAAATTATATGGGAGGTCAAAATCATGCCCGTTTTATTACGTTTGGTCACAGGGGTATCACGAACAGTCACAGTACAGTAGATTTCTATCGCGGGTGATCACAGTGCTATCACGGATGGTCACACCTCGCCCCGAAAAGCTATCACGTTTGGTCACTCGATGAAACGATCATATTAAATTTGAAACCACAAAAGTAACAGTACAATTTTTGGGGAATTCCAACCTTGATTGCTTGTACCTCGCGCATTATTCTAGCCCTGACATTTAGGGAACTGACGAAAAAAAACCCCCCCTATTCGATGGCACATCCTTCGGGAGGCATAAACTCTAAACACTTGGTGAGCAAGTCCACGCGAGGTGTCATGCTATAGGGTGACCACCCAATAGTCCAGGGAGTGTAGGGTGACCTTTCCCACAGCTGCTGGCTCCTCAAAGCCTTCATCCTTCTCTGGTCCAGCCGGTGCTTGTGTCGATACGAAGAAGAATTGGCCTGGAAACCGATCGTCACTGTGGTCCATGTTGTTATCCCCGCTCTTCATGTTTGCAACACCCCCCTCCACGACCGTCACGGCCTCCACGGCCTCTTCCTCTCCCTCCTCCTGCTCCTCTACCCTCTTGGCCTTGAGCAGGGGTCCAACCATCAGGGAGCTTGTAGCAAATACGCCACATGTGTCTGGTCTCGTGGCAATAATGTCACTCGCCGTCGAATCGGCCGCGACCGCGTCCGTAGCTCTTGTCGTCGCTGCCGTATCCGAGAATCCCGTGGCCTCCACCCCAATTGCTCCCACCAAACATTCGTCTTCCTCGTCCTCTGCCTCTTCCTCGGCCATATCCACGGCCGACGCTCGCTGCCCGGGGCAAGTCGGGATTCAAGTTGATGATAAGCGAGGACCATGACTCGGGGAAGAGGGCCAGCAGCTTGGTGTGTCTTCTTTTGGAGCTCACTGTAGTTCAGATCTGGTCCCTCAAGCCGCGTCAACAAGTCGAAGAATTTCTGCACCCCTTCTTCCACGGGTTCACCTCGTTCAATTGGTAGTGCCAACACCACAGCTACTGCCGCTATTGCAGGAGCATGTACAACCTTGAGAGCCCTGTTACAAGATTTGACAGCTCCCCAATGCTTGCCCAAGTAGGAGATAGCCTTGTGCGCTCTTCCGCACCCACGGGCTCTTCTCCGGGTCGTTCTCGGGACGCTTCTCCGTTCCTTCCATCACCTCCAGCAGGTCATAATGGTCAAACACGTTCTCCATTCTGAAGGACCATTCAGCAAAGTTGTCGCCGTTGAACTTGTCAAGCCCGAACACTCTTGGTCATTCCTAGAAGGTCCAAGAGTAGGTTGCACGGGTGCCACGGCTGAATCACGGGGTTGACCTTGTGCCTGGGGTCCTCTACTATCTCTAGCACCTCTGCCACCCCTCTCTTCAGGTCCAGCCATTGTCGTACCTGTTCCAAGGCGCTCTGATACCACTTGTAACAGTCACAATAGGCTTCAATGTTCTTAGAATGAATTGTAGAGTGCACAGTTGGATTTCTACACAGCAGCTTTAAACGTTCATAGCGTTCTCATCACAAGTAGCTTCAAATGACCTGATTCAACTTGGATCTGGAGCGTCTTAATGTCGCCTACAATAGGCAACCTAGATCGCACGATTATATTAAGAATTGACGACACAAAGTCGGTTTGAACGAACGGCACTATGGCAGCCACTATAGTCTTAGAACACACAATGGGAAAAGTTAGAAGAATAAAAGGTTGGGAATGACTCCCAGCTTTTGCAAACCCCAAGAGCCGAGGTACAGTGACGTGAAACAGTGCCACACTGTCCCCAACCAAGAAGGGTCTCGAAACTACCCTCCACAAGGGCCTACACCAACTGAAATGTTACACTACACAAAGTAATGTAACTATTCTCACTATCTTGAAGTGTACCCTTTTGGCGAGCTTCGAAAACACTTGAAGCTTGAAACCAAGGATCTGGTTCTTCATCACAAACTCATCCTTGAGTTCTTGATGGGTCTGCTGCACACACCTGCGACACGGCGAACGTTCGACACATGACAAAAAAGAAAGCGCGCGAGACACACAAACGACGAAATAGAAACTGCGTGGGACACACAAAAGATCGCGTAACATGCGACTAGCGATAACTCTCTATTGACTCGGCACACACATTCGACATAATGACCCATCATTCACACACTATCATAAGTTTGAAATATATATTATCTCATGCCCTCATACCATTCCATGCACACACGCATGCACGCACACAGACAACAAGCCGAGTGCAAACCGAATGGTTGCACCAACATCATTAAGCATCGTGATGCTGCTGCTGGCGGCGAGTAGGTCGTCGACGTAGACCAGCACCTAGCAGGTCACTCCGTCGTCGTCGACCTTGACGTAGAGCACCTCGTTGACCTGGCCCTTCTTCGAACCAGCCCCCTGCAGCACACGGTCGAGATTCTTCATGATGTTTTCCTCGGGCAGAGGTTCGACCAGCTCTTATATGCCGTTCCTGATGAAACTCCGAATCTCCTCGTCGATGAGCTTGGCGACTCGTCGGCT